GAGAAGACATTTGGTCACCTGGGTAGAGTTGGCTAGATGAGAACATTGGGGAAAGGTGGGAGCATGACGCCATCCTGGAAGTGGAACCTTCCTATGCTTTTGAATCTTCTCTCAATCTTTTAATCATAGCATCACCTGCATTTTAAAAATCCCTTTTTGGACCCATTTTCACAAGATCATGTGAATATTCTTTTTTCTCCCTTTTTAAATTTTTTTTTCCTTTTAATAGAGAGAGAGAAAGGAGAAAGAAACATTGATCAGTTGTCTCCCATATAAACCCTGACCAGTGATCATGACCCTGTAACCTATGTGTGTGCCCAGACTGGGAATCAAACCAACAACCTTTTGGTGTACTGGACGACGTTCCAGTGGACTGAGCCACTGGCCAGGGCAAGATGTGATCATTCTTGGATATCGTTTTGTACAGGTTCACACACAAAGAGGAAGGCAGCTTTCAGTGCGTGACGTGGAGCCTCGTCACTATGAGAATATGAGAAACCAGAGGTAGGGGACATCATGCCATAGTCTAGACTTACATTTTTACGTCTTTGCTAATGTCAAAAACTGCCCATTAACTTCAAAACCTGGCAACACTTCTTTTACAGTACTATTATTTAAAAGTCGAATTAAATGTTTAGTATTCAAGTGTTATGCTCGATTTGCAACTAGTTTAAAGTCCTTGTAAAAACAAAATTATTTACAAGTCTCAGTTACAGTTCATAGAGAAAAAGTCTTTGTCAAATCCCCATAAAACCCTCTGCCACACGTAATTTCCACCACCTCTGCTCCTTAGTCCCTTTTTTGTGGGGGACTTATAGGGCAACAGTGGCTATACACAAACTTGAGTAATGAGCTAAGAGACATATGAAGAGCTGAGACGTTGTACTGAGCTAGGAAATACTGGGGACAAACAAAGAGAAAACAGAAACTTTCCTTCCTAAGTAACAGTGCCAACTGCTCCACTAAGTGTGAGTGGTTCTGTTAATGGCTCTCAGATCAAGAGAACAGGGCTGGTAATGCCACTGGCTTTGTGCCTTTTGGCCAAAGGCCACACATGGCCTAGAAACACTGCCACAGATTCCACAGGCAAAACTTGTACTGGAGGCTACAAAATGGAAGCTGGCAGGCTTTGTTTAGCTCCTCCCAAAAAATACTTCTTTATGTTTGAATTTTAAATTAGGAGAGTTCAAATAAAATAGCTGGATTTCTGGCTTCTCTTGAGGGGTTGGAAATGCTCAGCCTGTATTTGAAATGGTAAAATGGGCTCGAGGTAAGTAGTAGCCTCTGCCCCTCCCCAGTCTGCCACATCCCCAGAGCTTCCTCCCTATGGTGCCCAACACTGAAGCCAAGTCTGGTACCACTTGGCATCCACTCTGCTTTCTTTATAGTGGAAGTAAGAGTAAAGTGGGAAAGCAAAGAAATGCTGAAGGGCAACATGGTTAAATAAAAATGGGACAAAGAATACTTCTTTTGGAGGTAAAGAAAATCATATACTTCTAAATACTCTCCCCCCAAAAGTTATCCCTTAAAAATGGAAGATTTTTTTCAAGGACTCGTTAAATTTCATATCTTATAGCACTCTCCAAGTTCCTTTATTTTGAATAAAGGTCTGTTTGGGGAAGAAATTGCTCAGCCCCAAATGATCTTCATTACTTTAAGTTCTAGGTATTTTTTTAAATATATTTTATTGGTTTTTTACAGAGAGGAAGGGAGAGGGATAGAGAGTAAGAAATATTGATGAGAGAGAAACATCAATCAGCTGCCTCCTGCACACCTCCTACTGGGGATGTGCTCGCAACCAAGGTACATGCCCTTGACCGGAATCGAACCTGGGACCTTTCAGTCCACAGACCAACACTCTATCCACTGAGCCAAACCGGTGAGGGCAAGTTCTGGGTATTAATAGAGGTTTTGAAAAAAAGAGGCTAAGTAATTTAACACTGATTTAGTAATTATTGCTGAAGGTATGACCTCATAATAACAAAGGTTAGATTAGTTACCTCGAGCTTAAGAAAAAAAGATCATTTCAAAAAGCAATTTATTAAGTTGTAAATTATATGGCTATGATCATATAAAGCCAACAGATGCTTGTGACTTAAGATAAAATTTCCAAAACAGCACACTACACTGATTCACAAAATACAGAATCATACAGCATTTTAGAGGGAAGTGAAGATGGTGCATTCTGGAAAACTGGTTGATGATGCAGAAACAAAGTTGAGGAAAATAGTGTCAGTATAAGAAAAACCTGAATAAAAATGTTTCAGAAAAAAAGTGAAAAAAAACAGGATTTTCCAAGTAAATATATTTTGTATTATTTTCAATATATATCCAACCAAAATAGTAAGTAATTATAGATAAACTATTTGATCTATATTCCCTAAAACTTTTATAATAAAATTGGCCCAAAAATGTTTTTGAGGCCCCTTTCATTTAGTGTTATCTTACTAAATGAAACTTCTGACACTTACTGCATTCTTATGACTTAGTAAGCAAACAAAACATATCAGGTCTGGAGACCACAGTAGTGCCCTCTCTTTGCATTTATGCCTGGCCCATAGAGACGTCTAAGCCTGTCTCTTGGATGCAGCCCACCCAGACAGGAACTCCCCGACTCACCTTCTCTCATCTTTTGATCTAATTCATCAAGTGTTGGTTCAATCAATTCCCAGCCATCTGGGGGAGCTTTCCGGCTTCTTTTGACTTTAGGCATTTTCCCCCACAAGATAATTTGCAAAGACCTAGAAGGGAAAATTAAATGAATTAGTTGCTGATCCTCAGATCACCAAAGGTCTTCACCAGCCTCTACTGTGTACATTCACTTCACTAACTCTGTTACCTAATCTGTAAAATGGAGATAATAGGACCTATGTTATGGGGTCATCATGAAGACTTAACTATAACTGTATGTAACATGCCTGGCTTTTAATGTGTGGTTTTTTTTTTTTCTGTTATCATTAACTGACACTAACTATTAGCCTGGCCCTGTACTGGATATTGGGAACATAGAACAAAGAATAAGACATTACAATCTCTATCCCTGAGAAGGTGACATTCTAGCAAGGAGATAGGAAGTAAAAAGGCAATTACAGAAAGTGTGGTAACTGATTGAGGGAGCTGAGAGGACAAGTGCTTCTTAAAAAGGAAAAAGAGCCCTGGCCTCTGTGGTTCAGCTGGCTGGAGCCACATCCTGCATACCATACCAGGTCTCAGGTTTGATTCCAGGCCAGGGCACATACCTAGGCCATACAGGAGGCAACCGACCAACGTAAGTCTCTCACATCTCTCTCTCTCTCTCAAAATACCTCAAGGCTACCTCCGAAGAGGGTAACTGAAAGATTCTCTTCAGTTACAGGCTCAGGTTCTTTTCTAGCTCTATCAATTGCTCTGTGACTTTGGGCAGGTCACATTCCCACTCTGGTACTCAGTCTCATCTGTAAAATGAGGGCAGTGGGTTAGCTGGTTTGTCAACAACTCTTTTGAAACTCAACAGTATGTTCAACAAACATACTACACAGAGGCAAATCATGTAAAGCCCATGTAATAGCCCAGCCCAAATGTAAACAGTAAAGAAATATTTTCAAATCTCATAGCATATCCTAGATCAGCGGTTCTCAACCTGTGGGTCGAGACCCCGTTGAGGGTCGAACGACTCTTTCACAGGGGTCGCCCAAGACCATCGGAAAACACATATATAACTACATATTTTTGTGATTAATCACTATGCTTTAATTATGTTCAATTTGTAACAATGAAAACACATCCTGCATATCAGATATTTACATTACAATGCATAACAGTAGCAAAATTACAGTTATGAAGTAGTAACGAAAATAATTTTAGGGTTAGGGGTCACCACCACATGAGGAACTGTATTAAAGGGTCGCGGCATTAGGAAGGTTGGGAACCACTGTACTAGATGGATAAGCATAGCAGATTCCCCTCTCCCAAATTCATTCAGCCCCTCCCTTCCGTCCGGTCCCTGACAGCCCAGCAAGCATACAGGAATTAAACTCCAGAAGGTTTACTGAAGTCAAGGTCGCACAGCTTGGAACTGGCAGCGTATGACTCTGATTGGAAGCTCCCGACTCCCAAATCCGTGATCTTTGCATTTGTTTCCCCTCCGCTGAAACTAAAGAAGGGTGGAATCTGGCTCCTGCCCCAGCGCCCAACGGCTGGGAGGACAAAGACACGGGAACAACCACTCCGCAGTCACCCAGGGAAATTCGAGGGCCCTGGCCCAGCCTGGGAGTCAAGAGGAGGTGACAGGTAGGAGGTAAACTAAATCAAGAAGAGGTGTCGGGAGGTCTAAGAGAAGTAGTAGCGCTCGGCAGAGGCGGCGAGTGGAAAGACTTTCGGAAGAAAGGAGGGAAGGTTCATAGAGAAGACAGCATCTGAACCGGGCTTAAAAGAACAAGCAGTTTTTTTTTTTTTTTACAAAAAAACAACAACAACCAAAAAACAAAACACGTTCTTGGCAGAGAAAACTGTGTGTGTGGGGGGGGGCGGGGATGAAAACAGAGAACCCCCAAATCTCCCATCCCCTCTGCAGAACGAGCGAGGCGCCACCTCCTCTCCGTAACTCACTCCCATCTCCAGGGGCCCGAACCCGTCCCAGTCCAGCCGCTCGGAACGCCCTCTAGGCCAGTGCAGACCTCCAGTCCCTGGCCCATCTTTACCAAGATGCTCGAGAAACAGAGAAAAACACCCACCTCTAGTGCTGTCAGGTAGCCGAGCTCAGGCTCCCAAGGAGATGCAAAAGACAGGGATGTAACAGCAGCCTACGGCGTAGTAGTGTCGCTTCTGTCCCGTCCGCTTCCGCTTCCCAGATTATCGCTTCAGGATGAGGTCCTCGCGGAGCCCCGCCCCACCTCGCGCAAATATTGCGTCATCTTAGGTGCCCAAAGCCCTGCCTGTAAAGAAAACCAGACCTACCGCTGCTTTTTTGCTCTCACTTTCCAAGGGTTGGCCAGCCGACCCACGCGTCTCTCCGGGCGGGGAGAGTGAGGGCGCTGTTGCCCGGCAGCACGCAGACGAGCCTGAACTCAGGCGGCGCGCGGGACAGTCCAGCTCCCCGCAGCTGATTCCCTGCGATGCCCAGTTCTCTAGGAGACGGCGGCGGCGGCAGCGCGCGGAGGGGACAGTGCTGGGCGGAAGGAGTCGAGCCCGAGGCACTTCCGGTTCCGGTGTCAGGGGGAGGCGCCGCCGCCGCCGCAGCTGCCAGAGCCGCGATGCCTAAAGGAGGTGAGGAGCGGGCGCGTGAGCCCCGTGGGCCTCGAGGGGCGATCCCCGTCTGGCTCCCGCTGTCCCAGCCCCCGGGCGTCTCAGAGAGCGGCGCAGAGGGAGGATGTCCGTGCCGGCTGAGGGCCAGGCCTAGGCCTCGACGCCGAATTGTCCGGATGGGGAGACTGAGGACCATAGTGGCCTCAAACCACTCCCTCGGGGGTCTGCGGAGACTCGGAGGCTCTGGGTCCTCACCGACGCAGAAGGCCAGACCTAGGGCGCGCTTCTCCCCGGGGTGGGGGCGGGGGGGTCTGGAGCTTTCTCTATTCTAGGCTCGCCAGACACTGAGTCACCGTGTCCAGCGCCTGTGCAGCGCCCGCTTGCCTCGTGTGTAAAACGTGGGCCCTCCCGGGCTCTGGGCGAGAGAGGCCTGCCCAGTGAGACCTAAGGTGATGCTCCTGAGCCTGGCAGACTCCGCTTGGACTGCCCTCTTCAGCAGCGGGCTTGATGTGTATCTTTGAGCCAGTCGCTTAACCTCCCTGTGTCGTGGTTTCCTCATTTGCAAGTAAGGGTTATAATTGTGCCTACCTCATAATATTGATGCGAGGCTTAAACTAGGTATTCCCGTGGAGTGCGCATAGGTGCCTAGTGAGCTTTAACTCTTGTAATTTGTAAACTTTGTCGGTTCCTTGGCCAAGAAGGTAAAGAATGCGTGGCTTCCCAGCACATTGTTCATCCTCCTCCATCCTTTTTCCCCCAAGAGTCAATAGTTCTCGATTTGAAGCCCATCCCGTGGCTCTGGACCGGATATTTATCATCTTCCAGACTGTTCTCCTCATCTGGAACACCTGGCTGATAAGCCTTAAATTGGAGAGTTGGGATTAGGGGTAATAAAATGATAAGAGTACTTGAAGTGCCTGGCTAGCTCCCGGCACAGAACAGATATTCAGTTAATGTTGGCAGCTCATGTGTCATGTTAAGATGTATCAGCCCACAGGAAAATCTACTTGGAACTTTTTCAAACCTAAATGACTTCCTGACTCTACTTCCAGAGATAATTGGACTTTACAGAGTTTAATCCATTTAAGCCTAGGTATCTATCTGCTGGTTTAGTCTGCGGTAGGGAGACCCACCTCTCCTCTCTGTTCCTTAGTTTCCTGTTATGCACAAGGAGGATGGATGCTAAGTGAGCCCTTCTGACTCCACAATTCTGGCTCTAGGAGTTCTACTTAATAGCTACTTTGAGGCAAGGTTGGAGGGTACAATTAGGAAGTCCTAAATATGAATTCTTGGTTAAATGACATGGCCTTTTGACTTGTGAAAAACTTTATGTATAAAGATTTACATTTATTGCTTTACATTAATTTGCTTCAAAAGCAAAGCAAAACATGAAAATGTTAAAGTATCAAATTCCTCATGAACAAAGAACCAATATTTGTTTCCATTTAAAAACTGAAGCATTTTTAAAGGCACGAAGAGCTGATAAAAGTTATTGTAGACCAAACTAAGGTCAGCATCCCATAGCCAAGTGCGCAGGATAGAAGCCTATAGTAGCCAATTTTGAGTTGTTACTAGTGCCTGGAATATTCAGAGGGCAAGAAAGGGTGTTGGTTTCTTACAATGGCAAGCTTGGTCTTTCACAATAGGACTTTCATGAGCATAGACTGAGACACTCCTGGGAACCCAGGTAGTCATTAAAAATGGGTGGTGTCCTTTGTAGCAGCCCAATTATGGCTATGCAGCTGCTGTCTAGGAAATCAGGGAGGCCAGTATCTGTTGCTGTCTCTGGAGTCCAGAGCAGCTCTGACTGTCTAACACAGATTCTCTGCTATCAGTGAGAGACTCACGGAAATCAGGTGGACCACAGCTTTCAGGAAAGGTGGGGATGGGTCAAAGCCACAGCTAACCCAGTATCCTCTGGAACCAGTAGAAGGGCTATAAAACTGGCTGATGGCTTTAGCAGGGGTCAGTCTGTAAACTGATACTCTTAGATGAACTTTAATTGCTAATCATATATATTTTTTAAATTCCAAATTTTTATTGTTGAGAGTATTATAGATGGCCCTCTTTTTCCCCCCTTGACTCCCCTCCACCCAGTTCCTGTCCCTCCCCAGGCCTTTACCACCCTATTTTCTGTGTCCATAGGTAATGCATATATGCATATAAGATTTTTGGTTAATCTCTTCCCACCCCCCTTCCCTCTGAGATTCGTCAGTCTGTTCCATGTTTCTACGCCTCTGATTCTATTTTATTCATCAGTTTATTTTGTTCATTAGATTTCTTGTTCACATATTTTATTTTTAGATTCAATTGTTGATAGATTTTTAAATAGTTTTTTCTTCTTCCTCATATATTTTTATTGATTTCAGAGAGGAAGAATCTCTTCCCTCCCCCCTTCCCTCTGAGATTCGTCAGTCTGTTCCATGTTTCTACGCCTCTGATTCTATTTTATTCATCAGTTTATTTTGTTCATTAGATTTCTTGTTCACATATTTTATTTTTAGATTCAATTGTTGATAGATTTTTAAATAGTTTTTTCTTCTTCCTCATATATTTTTATTGATTTCAGAGAGGAAGGGAGAGATATAGAGAGATAGAAACATCAGTGATGAGAGAATCATTGATCGGCTGCCTCCTGCCCCACACTGGGGATCGAGACCACAACCTGGGCCTGTGCCCTGACCAGGAATTGAACCCTGGCCTCCTGGTTCCTAAGTCCACACTCAACCACTGAGACACGCCAGGCCTTCAGGATGAAGCCGGGGCTGCGAGGGAAGCCCATGTCCTGGGTGCCAGAGGGAAGCCAGTGCGGGCAGCTAGGGGAAGGGAGGCCTACTCTTGCACGAATTTCGTACATCGGTCCTCTAGTATGCATATAGATCCTTGGTTAATACCTTCCCACCTCCACCCCCACCCCTTCTCTCTCACATTTGTCAGTCTGTTCCATGCTTCCATGCCTTTTATTCTTCTATCTTATTCATCAGTTTATTTTGTTCATTTCTTGTTTGTTTATTTTGATTTTTAGATTAAATTGTTGATAGATATGTATTTATTGCCATTTCATTGTTCATTGAGCCAAACCGGTTTCGGCTTCTTTCTCTTTTTAAAGAATACCCTTCAGCCCGGCTGGCGTGGCTCAATGGTTGAGCATCATTCTCTCTTTGTCTTTAGCTCTTGGCATTTCAATTATTATTATTTTAAAGGAATGGGTATTTAATTTTTTTGTTTGTTTTGTTAATCCTCACCCAAGGATATTTTTCCATTGATTTTTTAGAGAGTGGAAGAGAGAGGGAAAGACAAGAGAAATATCAATGTGAGAGAAACACTTCGATTGGTTACCTCCTGCACAAGCCCTAAGGCCCAGGCCAGGGAGGAGCCTGCAACCAAGATATGTGCCCTTGACCTGAATAGAACCCGGGACCCTTCAGTCCACAGGCTGATGCTCTATTCACTGAGCCAAACTGGCTAGGGCTTGGCATTTTTTTTCTTCCTTTTATGGGGAAGCATGGAGCAAGGCTGCCCCAGAGGTGGCGGACCTGTTGCAAAGCAGTGGTGGTGGTGGTGGTGGGACGGCACAGGTCCGCACAGCCCTCCCCACAGCTGGGGCACCTCAGAGCCTGGGCCCAACCCTGCCGGGCTCCAGACGCGGGTTTGCCTCATCCATGCTCTTGGCCACAGGCTTCCTCCTCCTCTCTGAAATCAATTAACCCAGGCTAGGGCTTGGCATTTTAATTATGATGTGTCTTTGTGTGGTCCTCTTTGGGTTTCTCTTGTTTGGGACTCTCTGTGCTTCCTGGACTTATAAGTGTACATGTGATTTTCAAAAATTAATTCTAGCCCTAACCGGTTTGGCTCAGTGGATAGAGCGTTGGCCTACAGAATCAAGGGTCCCAGGTTCGATTCCAGTCAAGGGCATGTACCTTGGTTGTGGGCACAATATATTTTAAAATTAATTCTATAGTATATCTATATATATAAAAGCCTAAGCGACTGTTACGACTGGCTGACTGGTCGCTATGACGTGCACTGACCACCAGGGGGCAGATGCTCAATGCAGGAGCTTCCCCCTGGTGGCCAGTGTGCTCCCACAGCCAACCTCCCGCAGTCCCTCCCCCACGTCAGCTGGCCCCGATCCAGACTGGGTGAGGGATCCCACCCATGTACAAATTTGTGCACCGGGCCTCTAGTAGGCTAATAATTAGCCTAACGTGCCTACCCCTAATAAACCAGCCTAATGATAACAGCCTAAACCTTTCAATAGTATTCTTTTCCAATTCTCTATCTACCCTACTACTTATACTATCCACCTATTACCACTTTTTTTTTTTTAAATATATTTTATTGATTTTTTACAGAAAGGAAGGGAGAGAGATAGAGAGTCAGAAACATCGATGAGAGAGAAACATCGACCAGCTGCCTCCTGCACATCTCCTACTGGGGATGTGCCCGCAACCCAGGTACATGCCCTTGACCGGAATCAAACCCGGGACCTTTCAGTCCGCAGGCCGACGCTCTATCCACTGAGCCAAACCGGTTTTGGCACCACTTTTGATTGTTGCTAGTCAATTTCACCTGGCCAAATAAACTTAAACGGGAAAAAATTATTATACTATTATATTCTCCAAATGTTCTTGATCATAACATTTTCAGCTACAGAATTTTACTTTACATCTTATTTGAATCTACACTAGGCCCCATTCTTGTTATTACCCACTGAGGGCGGCAGACTGAGTGACTTAATGCATGAATTTATTTCTTATTTTACACTCCAGTAGGGTCACTACCTTTACTAATCACATTAACTTAAATTCAAAATACTGGAGGCTCACAAATTTCTGTTGACCCAATATTGAGTTAAACCATTAGTATCTTCTTTTTTAAATATATATTTTATTGATTTTTTTTTTACAGAGAGGAAGGGAGAGGGATAGAGAGTTAGAAACATCGATGAGAGAGAAACATCAATCAGCTGCCTCCTGCACACCCCCTACTGGGGATGTGCCCGCAGCCAAGGTACACGCCCTTGACCAATTCAAACCTGGGACCCTTCAGTATGCAGGCCAACACTCTATCCAATGAGCCAAACCGGTTAGGGCCCATTAGTATCTTCTTGAGGTAATACATTATTGTGACTAGCAGACATGATAGCTTTTATAGTAAAGATACCTTTATATGATCTCCATCTCTGACTGCCTGAAGCACATGTTGAAGCCCCTATTTCATGTTCTATAGTATTAGCAGCTGACGAATACTATGAATTACTATATTATTAAATCATGTTACTAATTTCATAGCATACCCTTTCTTAATATTATCTTTATGGGGTATACTATTTCTTTCACCAGGTAAGGGAAGTTTTCTGTCATTATTTCTTCAAATAGGTTTTCAATGGCTTGCGCTTTCTCTTTCTGTGGAACCCCCACAATGTGAATGTTGGTATGCTTGAAGTTGTCCCAGAGGCTTCTTACACTATCTTCATAGTTTTGGATTTTTTTTTTCTTTTTGCTCTTCTGATTGGGTGTTTTTGCTTCCTCATATTCCAAATCCTTGATTAAATTCTCAGAATCCTCTACTTTCCTGTTGAATCCCTGTAAATTATTCTTTATTTTAGTTAGTGTATGCTTAATTTCTGATTGGTCTTTTTTTATGTCTTTGACATTCTCCCTGAGATCCTTCAAAGTCTCACTAAGTTCCTTGAAGCTCTCATTAAGTCTCTTAAAGCTCTCATTAAGATCCTTGAGTAATCTTATAACCGTTGCTTTGAACTTTGTATCCAGTAGTTTGCTTGCTTCCATTTCTTTCATTTATAACATGTTTCCTTGTCTCCCCATTTTGGCTTCTTCCCTGTGTTTGTTTCTGTGTATTAGGTAGAGCTGTTGTTTCCTGGAATTGGTAGAGTGGCGTTGTGTAATAGGTGTCCTGTAGGGCCCAGTGTCTCAGCCTCCCGGGTCATCTGAGCTGAGCACTCTAGGTGTGGCCCTGTGTGGTCTGTGTGCACAGTCTTGTTGTAGTTGAGCGTGGGAGGAATTGGCCTCTAGGCCATTTAGCTGTGAGGACCAGCTGTGTCTGCAGTGGAAGAGCTGCTATGCAGGAGATACCTCTATGGAGCAGGACTTCCTTTAGTGGGGTGTTGATGCTCACTTTGTCTGCCCCTTGAGTGTGTCACTGTTGGATGTTTGGAGTTGTAACCTGGTATGGTCTGAAGCTGTCCACTGGGTCACTGGCTCTGGGGCTTCACAGGAGGTGCAAAGTCAGCCACTGGCTGGGGCCACCCGACAGGAGCTACAGTGAGATCTGTAAATGGCTGCTTATTTGTATTGGGCTAGGACAGGGGTGGGCAAACTTTTTGACTCGAGGGCCACAATGGGTTCTTAAACTGGACCGGAGGGCCGGAACAAAAGCATGGATGAAGTGTTTGTGTGAACTAATATAAATTCAATGTAAACATCATTACATAAAAGGGTACAGTCTTTTTTTTCAATAGTTTTATTCATTTCAAACAGGCTGGATCTGGCCCGCGGGCCGTAGTTTGCCCATGACTGGGCTAGGAAGTGCTCAAGCGCGGTCCAGCTGTGAGGCAAGGCAGGCTGGTGCTAGTGCTGGGTCTTGGGCCTTTTATTGATAGGTTTGGGGTAAGCTGCCCCAGCTGCTGCTTGTTTAAGAGAATTTAGCAAAGCCTGAAGCCTGAGCCCAGACAGGGCATTCATATGGTAAAGCAACTGCAAACAGCTTGGGCGGGGGCTGCAAATTGGAAGGGGCCGGGTCTCAGGGAATCATCAGGGTGGAGCAAACAGTGTGTTTCAGGCTGATGGAGACTCAGATATGGCTGCCAGCCAGCTCTGCGATGGGGGAGGTTCCAGCACAGGAACAATGACCCCGGCAAGCACCCCTGTCTGGGAGAAAGCTGCCCCAAGTTTCTGCCCTGATGCCAGACCAGTTTCCCTGTATGTCCCTGGATTCCCCCAAATCCGCTGCCCAGCGCTGGAGCTCAGAGGAATTGGGACTCCGTAAGTTTATGTGCAGGCCTTTAAGAGGAACACCTGGGACTCGACTCCAGCAGCCTCCATGTCACTCAGGGATAATCCCCCACTAGTTTTTACAGCCTGAAGTTATGGGGACTTATTTTCCCAGCTCTGGAACCCTGGGCTAGGGGTTTGGTATGGGGCTGGGACCCCCTGCTTGGAGATATCCCTCCCAATTAAAGAAATAACACATGTGGGTGTCAGACCAGCCTGTTCCATGCCTTGACTCCTTCTACCAGTCTCAGTGTGCTTTCTTCTTTACTTTTCTAGTTGTAGGACTTCCATGCAGCTGGATGTCAGGTGGTTCTGAATGATGGTTGTTCTGTATTTTAGTTGTAATTTTGATGTAGTTGTGGGACACGGTGAGTACCAGGGTTTACCTACACTGCCATCTTGGTTCTCCCACTAGTCATATTTTAACTCTTAGATGGTAGTCAGGTTTATTTTCAACTTTAACTGTGTTCTTACTACAAGTACAAGAAAGTTTTCTCCAATAGGTTTTAGATTTTCTCTTTCTATAATACCACTTAGATGAAGTATCTTATATTCCCTAGCATCTGTAGTAAATCACCTATGTGGCTTTGTCCCTCCCCCCAATACTATATGTTAGAGAGAAAGGTGAGAATCACAAGAAACATTTTTATAGTGCTTATCCCATGCCAGGCACTGTCCCAACAGCTTTACATATGTTAAATCCATCTTCATGACAACCCTATGAGGTAGGTAGGGACACAGATGAAGAAGCTGAGATTCTTAGAAGTTAAATACCCGCCCCAAATTATAAAGGTAGTAAGTGGTAGAGCTGAGATTTGAACCCCAGGGTTGGATTGCAGCATATGTGCTCTTCACCATTCTGTTTTGATCTTAAGTCTCCTTGTCTATAAAACAGGACCAGTTGTGGCTCCTGCACCATAAGTTTGTTCTGAGGATCAAATGAGTTCATGGAGGTCACAGAACATTGCAAGTAAAAAGACTGTAGTGACAGCAAGGATGTGTTACATGTTCTCATAGTTGCATCTATCTGCTATGTTTGGATTCTAAGGGACCAGGTGATTTATCCAGTCACTACATGCAGTATGCTCTCCCCCATATCCTCCCGTCAGGTCTTGTTTGTGGGAACCTGCATCCAGCACATAGTGCTGCATCAGGTGGTCACATGTTGCCTCTTTTTCCTTTGAATATATGAGGATGGGGGTTGTGTTTGGTGAGGGACAGGTGAGGTCTGCAATCTCTGATGAGAGTGCCTCAAGCCGGACCTAGCTCTCTGGGGCTCGGCAATCAAGGAAGCTGCTTCCCTTCCTTCTTCCTAAATTGCCAATCCTCTTGCAGGGAGAAAAGGAGGCCACAAAGGCCGGGCACGGCAATACACAAGCCCCGAGGAGATTGACGCACAGCTCCAAGCTGAAAAGCAGAAGGCCAGGGTGAGTACATGCCTGCCCATGGCATTGTGTCCCAGGAAGAAGCCTACACCTGCAATCTGGGGGAGCAGCAAGGAGCAGGCATGAGTCTCAGAACTACCAATGCTGGCCATCCTCTGATTGGATCAATTAGAACTTTGTTCAGTTAGCAACGGTTGCCTTAGGGAGTCTCTGTTCTTATTCCTGTGTTCCCACCTTCCAGGGGTTCTCCCTTTGCCAGGCTCTAGGTTGAGCTCCCAGCACCACCCCTTGTTTGTTCCAGTCATGCAGGACTGCTTGCCAAACCCAGCATATGATGCCCTGCCTTCCCACACCCCTACCAGGCAAAGTAACATTTGTTCCCGAGACCTTGCTCAATGTCACCTCTTCTGTGACTCTCACTGGTGCTACCCACCCTTCCCTCTCCAGTGTAAACTTAGTAGTTATCTCTACTTTGCCTTTTCCAGACAACTTAGAGGAAACAAAATATGTTTCTGTCGTCGTTGTTTGTGTCCCCTACCACACCATTAGATCCTCATCTAAAGGAAGCACAGTCAGGTTAGGGTCGAGGGGCCTGGGTACAGGGAAGGAGGGCCTGCCTTGTGAAGGGGCTGGCAGCTGAGCAGGACCTTGGAGAGTATGTACAGGTTTTGTAAGGGATCTCTTTGGTGGGGAGTCGAGGAAAGTGGAGGAAAGTGGTGTGCCAGGGCGTTGTCTTGGGAAGCTGGTGTAGCAGGGGAGGACTTGCCCCAAAAAAGTAAGTATGATTTGACAGCTGCACATGGCAGCTGGGGAAGCAGAAGAGGAGCTGAACAGTACTAGCACCACAGCTGAGTCCTTCTGACTTTGGGAGAGGAGGTACCTAGCCTGGGAGAAGGGGAACAGGGCCTTTATGGCTGTGAGGGGCTTGCTGGACTATGGGAATGACTTCCAGGCTTCAGAGTCTAATGGATAGGCTGCTTCTGACCCAGGTCCCCCCGGAGGTACCAGAATCTTGGAATAGGAGCCTTGTCATCCTTGATCTCGGCCTTCTCAAGGTCTACAGTCTAGATGTAGTTGGGGGGGGAGGGGGGAAGGGGGGTGTCATAGTCTTGGGGTTTTGTTTTGAATTTTTAATTCTGTAGGTTGTCCATTTCTGAAATAGGAAGAAGAGGAACAAGGAGAAGAAGATGGAGATGGGGCTGCAGGTGACCCCAAAAAGGAGAAGAAATCACTAGACTCAGATGAGAGTGAGGATGAAGAAGATGATTATCAGGTACTGAGCTTGGTGGGGACCTGAGACCTGAACGCTCTAAGTCATATGCACTTGCTCTCCTTGTACCTCCCAGGCTGGTAAAGACAATCCTGTGAGGTTTTGGGCCAAGCATCTGGGGTGGGGTGGGGTGGAACAGGAGTTTGTCCCCATCCAGATGGGCTGTTGGGAGATGTTGGAAGTGGCCTTCAGGGGCTCTGCAGGACTTCTCCAACAGCCACTTCTTGTCCTATCTTAGCAAAAGCGCAAAGGTGTGGAAGGCCTTATCGACATCGAGAACCCCAACCGAGTGGCACAGACAACCAAAAAAGTCACACAACTGGACTTGGATGGGCCCAAGGAGCTTTCAAGGAGAGAACGGTAACCTCTGCTGCTGGGCCTGGTGACTTTAGCACACAGACCAGGGGCTGACCTGTAGGGGCAGAGGCACCCACCTCCACTGAGGTCTCCAGTGGCTTCAGCTATGGACCTGTGGGGGCAGAGGCACCCACCTCCACTGAGGTCTCCAGTGGCTTCAGCTATGGAGTTGATCTCTGTTTCATCTCATTCCCTAAAGCAGTGGTTGTCAACCTTCTGGCCCTTTAAAACAGTTCCTCATGTTGTGACCCAACCATAAAATTATTTTCGTTGCTACTTCATAGCGGTAATTTTGCTACTGTTATGAATCGTAATGTAAATATCTGATATGCAGGATGGTCTTAGGCGACCCCTGTGAAAGGGTCGTTCGACCGCCAAAGGGGTCGAGACCCACAGGTTGAGAACCGCTGCCCTAAAGGCGCTCTAGAGCAGCGGTTGCCAACTGGTGGTCTGCAGACCACTGGTGGTCCATAAGGTCCGAAAGGTTGATGACCGCTGCTCTAGAAGCTTCTCCACAAAACAAAAAAGAATTTTAAAATTCACCAATAGAAACAGGAGAGCAGATTCAGACCTGAGTTTTGCACTTGAAGTAATCCCCAGGGTTACAAAGAGTTTTGCCATAGTTCCTGCTTCCATTGCACCCCACTCCAGGGACACTTCCCTTATCCAGTCTGATCTCATCATTCCTGGCCTGTATCCATCTGTAATGTCATGGCCATGAGATGAGGAGGGGATTTGGGGCCTGTGGAGTCCAGAAGACAGCACAGTGCAGGAAGATCCACTGGCTGCCCAGCCCTCTCCAAGTCTTAGGTGAAAATGGAGCAGCCGATAGTTTCCTTATAGATTGTGTGAGGATCATCGTCAAGTACCAAGGTGTCCTGCACACGGCCAGTTTTCCATAAGCAGTAACCTGAATTTTGATGGCTGCCAGGTGACATCAAAGGCCTTATAAGAGGTTGAAGGTCTATTAAAACCCATGAGGAAGGTCCACAAGCTTGGGGTGTGATTAGAGGCTTTGATGGACTCCTCCAATAGATTCCTTCTCACCAGTGAAAAGGGATCCTGTTGCTGCTCCTGCCGTTTGGGTTGCAGAGTGAAAGCCATAAAGACCTGCACCCTGCCTGGCACTTAGCCTTCACTGAGGGGGCCCGGCCCTGCAGAGCCTTCAGGCAACCTTATCATTCCAGATGCCTCTGTGCGTCCCTCCCTCCTAGTGCAGGCTGACAGGTATTCCTGTCACATCTTTTTAGGAAGTGCTTTGTCCAGTCTTCTGGGTGAGACATCTGCACATCCAACTTTGATTGCTGGGGTTTTTCCCCTCCCCTCTGGCCATGCTCCAGACCTTGTTTTTCATTACTCCCCAGCCCTATGTGCTGTGAGGCCTGTGGATGCTAAGTCTCTCCCTTCCCCAACCTCCTGCCAGGCAGGACTTCTCTGCCACTTCCAAAATCGGCTCTTGCAAGAACCTGGTGTAAATGGGACACTCTAATCTCATACTTTGTCAGGGGCCCATTCCAGTTCAGAATTTCAGGCTTGGGAAGAAGATCCTCAAAGAGAAATTAATGACCCTCCCTTCTCTCTACTTATGGTGTTGGTGGCTGTCACCTTTGTCCCATGGGAGTCCAGCTCTTATTCACACCCCTGTCGATGGGGACTCACCCCCTTGGGGGCAGCCTCATGCACATCTGAGCTGCACTGATTGAGAATGTGCCGTGTCGTGTCTACCTTGATTGGGTGTGCCTAGTCCCATCCATGGCCACATGGTTCACTCCTTTCTCCACCCCTTATAGAATGTGATTTCTATTGCCTTCCTTCTCTTGGTCATCTTCTGTGGACACAGTTCACTTGGTTTTTGTTCTCCTTTCTCACTGTGGACACCAGATCCTAGTCAGCCACACCCTGCCCACCCTTCACTACCCCAGCCAGACATGGTCCATATTGTGCTAAGGCTTTCCCAAGGACACAGGCCCTGAGTCTACCCCTTATCCTGTGTTTTCCATCTGAGGAGGCTGAGTACATAACTTGAGCTTTCCCCCAGCCCCTTGAGCCTGCCATGCAGAGGTCCAGACTGGTCCCTCTGTGTGTTTTGTTTGATGAGTATCCATCAGGGAGGGGCACATGGAGCCAGGGCCCCTCCCTTAGCCAGGGGATCCTCCACCACTTGGGCCTAGGCCTGAGTACTTGGCCATTTTTCTGGCTCCCACATCCACCTCAGCTGATAAAGGTAGGGAAGATGTCCCCTGTGACACTATTTTATCCAAACAGAGAAGAAATTGAGAAGCAGAAAGCAAAAGAACGTTACATGAAAATGCATTTAGCTGGGAAAACAGAGCAAGCCAAAGCAGACCTTGCCCGGCTGGCAATTATCCGAAAACAGCGGGAAGAAGCTGCCAAGAAGAAAGAAGAAGAAAAGAAAGGTAAGTCCCGAGTCACTGGAGCACTGCCTGACTGGTTCTGGGCGTAAACGCTGCACTTCATTGTCCTTGTTGTGGAATGAGATGGGGTCAGACTGTTTGGTAGAGGCCCACCCTGTGTGTATGCACCTTCCTCACTGTTAGGTAGAAGTGGGAGTTCCTAACCCCTCCCCACCAGGGTGCTGGGAGGGTCCCACAGCAGCATAGGGTTAAATATGGGTTTGAACTTCAGCAGAGCACTCGCTGTCTATGGCATCTGAGAGAGGCCTCAGGGATATATTAAGTGCAGATCTTCGAGTTTGGAAGGTCCCACCAAGGTCTGGTGCCTAGTGTGGCTGGGAGAGCTGTCTTGGATAACCGCTGTCTATGTGAGGGGCTTGGGGAGGTGGGACAGGGTAGGCTGGGTTTCCTAGCAGACTCAGATGAAATCAGGCCAAGTATCCTTTCTCCGTGTACTCCCTCCAGTGGGCCAAAGGTGGTAGAGGGTTCCTGTTGGCCAGATTCGCTGTGGGAGTTGGTCTGGTTTATAGGAGCGTTTTGACTCATGTTTTTATGTCTTCATCTCTTGCATTCTACATGTGGGACCATGAGAACCCTTAGGGATCCTGCTATCCTGCCTCTTCACCAAATAGCAAGGAAACTGAGGCCTAGAAATGGGAAACCAATTATCCAGGGGCATTGTTACCACACTGGAGATAAGCTGGTTATCCCGGCTCCCTGCTAGCGGCTCTTGCTTCACAAATCCCAAGCAGGAAAGGACTTCCTGTGTAACTCTGAACATTGTTGCTGATTTTAGAGAATTCAGCATCTACTGGGAGAGATTGGAATTACTGGGTTCTGCCAGGGGCGGTGTAAAAAGAGTTTCTGTGAGTCCTAGATTGAGTGTTGGTGTGTGTTTATGGAGTGGGCCCCAAACTCAGTGAGAATGTCTGCACACCAGCGTTCAGTGGCTTCAGCAGAAATCCTTTTCCTGCTGGAGGGCATCAGGCAGGCCTCTCTGCCTGGTGAGCCAGTTGCACAAATGTTTTCTGAGGCCGATCAGACTTAGAGTTCTGATTCGATTCTGGGAGTGGGGTTGGATATGTGGAGGGGTTGTTTTAACTACCCTTTCCTTCCCTTTCTACTCTTAGCAAAAGATGATGCAACTTTGTCAGGAAAACGAATGCAGTCGCTCTCCCTGAATAAGTAACAAGGCCTGAGAGAGGAGATACCAGGGAACTGGGCCATGCGGCCAGGACTGCTGCTGTGTCTCGCCCACCCTGTGCCCTGTCACCACTGCAGCAGCCCCTCAAGACAAGGAGTTCCCCACAGCCTGGGGCCTCCTCTTCATCTGGGCACGGAAATTGTTTGGGGGATGGTGGGTGGGGGT